CGGAGGACCCGGCCTGCCGTTTTGGACACAGCAATTATTTGAACGGACTCTTCAGCTCTTTGATAGTGACTTCAAATAATCTGAAAACATTAGATTATTTTCTATAGTCGTAGTTGTAGCAACRCTATGTTCAAATGCAGACGTTCTCCTCTGACATCACTTCCTGTTATTTCACATGCAAATATCTCAACAACTGTTCATCTCAGCAACAAGAAGTTTTGTTTGCAAATTGTCAATGTTATCTTTTCAAAAATGCATTTTTATTTATTACAAAAAATTGACGTCACAGGCACTTGAAGCAAAACACTATTTTTGGAGACATTTATAATTTATAAGAACAATTTGCAGCGGCTTCTGCTCTCAGCACCATATATTTTTAGTTTCTCATTTTCACTTATCGAATGTAAACCAGGAAAGGAATTCTTGTAACAATAACTTCCACTTTATAATCTTTTCAAAATAAACTATAACAAAAACTGGGATGTTTTTTTTTCTTTTTTTAAAGTATTGTTAGTCAGGTGCCAAGCTTGTTTAGAAATCACTGCTCATCTCTGCTGCCTGAACTTCTCTTTGTTTTTCTAAACTACCCTCATTCATAATTATCTACTACAGATAAGATACTGACTGCTTATAACAACTCCACAGACCYCTGTTTTGAACGTTATTACAGTTTTTATACATTAGACCTGCCAGTTTCAGACTTTCACCTGAGAACATTTCATGTAGTCAGTGTAACCTTTAGAAGGAGCTTGCTTCAACTAACATATTTAAATCTGAGACTTGAGGAGATGAAAGCTGCCAGGTTTTTCTCTTTCCCTGCAAAGTTACTAAAAATGCAAAATGCTGAATAAATTCAGCTCTATTTGATGTTAATGTTTCAAAAAGCAGATAGGAAACACAGACAGCCTGCAGCTCCTCTCTGTCTCTGCATCCTGGAACATGGTGTTCTSTGTCACGGCTGATTGTTTTTTTTGGTTTTTAATATTTGCCCCCTGTCTGGCCGCGGCCTCCAGGTGGGCTCAGTCGTGGCCGTGGGTTGGATCCGCTCCCAGAAAGCTGTGGACTGGCGCCTCTTCAGGAACATCTTCCTGGCCTGGTTCGTCACGGTGCCCGTGGCGGGCCTGTTCAGCGCCGCCGTCATGGCCCTGTTCGTCTACGGCATCCTGCCCTACGTCTGAGGGTGAGCAGAGGAGGAGGGCCAGAGAGGGGGAACGTGGGAAAAAACAACAACAACAACACATGGTGGCGTGAGTGTCGAAGGAAATGAAGACGTGGAAGTGAGGAAGGTTTACACGTGGACTCTGGTTGTGCTGTGGAGGAGAGGAGGCTTTGGTTCCCACGCTGCCTGGCTCTGCTGAGTTTCCAATCGGTTTATATTTGTTTGTTCGGAGGGTGCAGAGGCYTGTAACGGTTTTTTATTTTAAATCTGCTGTAAATACAACAATCTGGAACAAAATCGCAAGTTTAAAAAAAACTCAGCTCCTAACTTTAAAAAAAATACAGAAAATAATCAGTTTTATTCTTCCTGCAAAACCAGCAGCTTCAGCGAGTCGATTCTTTTTCGTAAGTAACATAACGAAAAAGACAAACGTGTACATATCATCATTCTGGATCGGTTGTGATTTGCTGTTTTGCGATTTGCTTTATTTAGCTGCCAAAATAAAACTGTGGTCATTCAAACCATTCACCATGCCAGCCAGATATAACCGGGGGCCAAAAGGAAACGAGCTCCTCAGAGGAATAAAAAAAAATACATAAAATAAAAACTAAGAGGGCGGTGCAACTTTTTTATTTTTCATGAAACCATAGAAACCTAATTTACTAAAGATTTGATTGTTTTGTTGAGAGCTCCTGTATGTTTCTAGAGATAAATCTCATATTTTTAAATGATGTATTATATTGTAATTTGTACTGTAAATACTGTCCTTAAGGAGTTTAGCAGTGGGATGGGGATCATGGTTTTTGTTTTTCATGTTGTAGCGGGGGGAGGGGGGGTATTTTTCATCTCATCAGTCTGTTTCACATCAAGAGGAAATTATTTAANGTTTCACATCAAGAGGAAATTATTTAAAAATTTAAAACTAGGTTTTTTTTTTTGTTTATTATTTTCATTTTACCCCCCTCACCTCTTTTTTTGATTTTATTGCATCAGTCGGTTCAACAGCGTTGCCAGAAAGGTGTTTCATTTAAAGATTTCCTCCTCGAGGGAAAAAAGAAATTTGAGTGGGAACGGGAGGCGCTGCTCGCCTCAGAGCAGATCCATGCCAAAGGAACTTGTGTTTTTTGTTTTTTTTTTTCTTTTTTTCGACATTTCGACATGCCAATTTAAAACCCAAACTCTGTGTGGAAGTGCAGCAGATGCCAAAACACTAAAACTGAGCAGAGGCAAAGTCACATATCAGCTGTATGCCTTTGTTTTCATACTTTTTGTTTCATATCAGGAGCTCCTTCCTGTTTGGGTTCAGGGTTTTACGTTTCCTGTCGCCCTAAAAAAAATAAAAATAAAATAAAAACGTCATCATTTGTGACAWCTATCCGAGCCTCGTCACGTTCGTGTCATATCAAACACTGAAACTTTAAACACACGTACTGTAACGATTAAACTTTAAATCACCAGAATAAAACTTTGAAAACACAGACAGAAGAGCACTGGAACGACAGCTGCAGCTGCCATCTTGCTAGGTGCTAAACGTATCACTCTGTTCTGTTCAGGACAAACGTGTCTTTTTACTGGATCAGTTATGATTTTCTGCTGTTGTTTGATGTCATCAGCTTAAAAGCTAAAATATTTATCATGTATATTATGAAAACTGGAGGCAAGAGTATTTTAAAATGAGCCTCCCAGCCCAGTACATGCAGTAATTACAGTACCAACTAGACATGGGTTTTTACGATGTAAAAACAAGTGTCATTGCAGYATGGCTTTGCCTGCAGCATTGGACTTGCAGAATGAACTTTGACCAAGTTCARATATGTTTTCTATACCAGCTTGYGTCTGCCACATCAGCAGGTGTTTGTAATGAAGGTAATTGTGTGACAATATGAAGTTAGAAGAGATTTTTTGTTAAAGTTGCATTAGCTGGGTTTTGAACCCTGATCTCCCACATGAAAGTCCATGACATAGACCATTAGACCAATAGACCTGGCAGGGGTTGGTTTGTATGTGTGCAGAAAGAGGCCACATTGCCAATGCAATTATTGACACAAAAATGTATAATATTACAACAATCCAGCAGTATTAAGACAATATTATAGTAAAACATCAAAATACAATCATATTAGTACTGTAAACACTGAACTACTGAGTTGAAATATTAAACTATGGTGCAGTACCAAGTTGAGTACAGCATGGGGCAGTATTGGACCAATACAAGGCTCCATTGACTGGCATTATAATTAATTAAACATTAATTTTTCATAAACTATAAGTTTTACAGGCACCAAAAGGCATAGCCATCATTTGGCATGGGAGCTTTACAGATATAAATTACAATGGCAGCTGTAGGACAAAGTATGCAGGAGGAGAAGCATGGCAAAGTGGAGATGACTTGGATGGGAAACGAATCACAATAGTGTGCATTGCATTGGCAATGCACACTGATAATAATAATTTTACATGTCTTAGTTCAGCCAGAGCTCTGCTTTCAGTCTGTGCCATTACTTTAACTCAGACTAATAACTTCAGCTTGTATAATATAGTTCTGTTGTGTAATTTTTCATTATTTTGAGTCATTCAGACCTTAAATCAGAGATGCCCAAAGTGGGGTCTACAAGCCAAAATTGGTTCAGTCATCCTACAGATATACTATATTTCCACTTAGTCATTTCATTCATTGGCCCAGTGACTGTTAAGTTTATATTTGAATTATTTAAAGAATAAACATAAAATAAAAGTAAATACAAGATATTTAAATTAGATCATTTTATGAAATGTCCCATGAATCGTTGCTGACTGAGCGAACATCACTTTCTCCAAGTGCACAGGCTAAAATAATTTAAAAAAAAAACATGGGCCACTTGCTTTATTATAAAAGGAGTTTACTTTAACAGTATTTCATGTATTATATTATTACAAATTGCGCACAGCCCTCAGATTTTCATTTTGACTCTCTTGGGGAAAATGTTTGAGCACCCCTGCCTTAAATAAATTTAGTGTTTAAATGTGCAGCCTGAGCACTAATTCACTTAAATTTGACAAAGAAATTAGGTAAAGCTGGTTTGGAGACTACTGGATATTTAAGAACTGGTCACAAATATTAATGATATTTCAGCAGCTGGACTGTCCCGACTCTCACTTCCCTGCTTTGCAGCAGGTGTAGCCGTTTAGTCCAGTGTACTGATGCCTGATAGTTTAATAATATTAACCTAATATTTCCAAAATGTAGCAATAATTCCACATTATTTTAAGTGCAGGTTCCAGTAATTATGACAATTATTGGTAGAACGTTGGGATTCTTGAAAATAAGTCGCCACAAAGCACCTACCAAGATGGCGGCGCAGGTCTCTGCTCGTTAGCAGTCAGCTGTTTGTTTGTGTTCCAGTATTTAAGTTCATCTCCAGCTTCTTTAGCTGCAGATCATAAAATCTGACTGGAGGGAGTCTGCAGGCGGCTCAGATCACAAAATATCACCAGATTATTAAAACTGATCATCACCAGCTTTTAAACAGGATTGTGTGACCTGTGGACGAACAACAACAACAACAAAAATCTTAAGTTTTTATTGAACAAACTCTATGCCAGCTGTCAGAGCTAATTTTTGTGTTTCTTTTTTCTCTCTCTCTCCATGAACAAATCTATGCTTAAGTAGCCACATGCCTTGTAACGTGTTTTTACTTTGTGCAGATACAGTAAAATTATTACGTACTGTGGTGTTTACATTGTAACCATATTGTAGAGCATCTGTAAAAAGAATAAAAAAAATAAATAACTGTTGCCTAATGATGCCAATGAAAGACAATTAACCATTTTTAAGTGCAAGAGAAAAAAACAACCAGAAGTGTCTAAAGAGAGAGAGGAAGAGTGAGCGTGATGACTTGTTTTTCTTTTTGTGTTTGTTTGTTTGTTTTTGTTGTAGTAGTGCTAATCATGATCCCTGTCACTTTACACTGCTGCTGCAACGTGTTAACACTACATGTGTGCGTGCAATTCAGAAAATAAGAACTAGAGAAAATTCATCAAAACTATATATTTTTCTACCATATCTGAGTTTTAACCTGCRTGAGCTTCCAGACACTTTGGAGGAGACGCCGTGGGCTCCAAGGGGAGCCCCGGTGTCGTCCTCTGACGTGTAGATTGACGTGTCGGTTGCCAGTAGATCGGATATTTGAAATGATTTGTTTTTGCTTTTTTGTGAACTTTCGATGAAAACACTTTGTAATTTTGTTTCCCTGCTGCTTCGGTCGTGAGCTGCGAGGGGAGGGGAGGCGTCTTTCTGCTCTCTGGCATCAAAAAGCTACCAGAGACGTTTGTAGCTGAGAAATTAAAATGTAAACGGTGAGGGAACTGGACCTGTTGTGTTTATTTACTGGGGTTTATCACAGCCAGATTCTCTTGCAGCTCATGACGGGTTTTTTTTTTTTTAAAACTCACCAGACTGTTGCACAGAGGACCACAGAGCTGCTGTGTTCACACAGGAAGAGCAATTTAAAACAACGGTTCCCAAACTTTTTATCTTCTGACCCACAAAATATTCATGGCAAAAACTTGTGACCCCAAATATTACTGGTCTGACGTACACAAACTTTGTTAATAACCCTAAAAACAAAGGTTTCACAAATATAACCAGACATGGGTTTTTACGATGTAAAAACAAGTGTCATTGCAGCATGGCTTTGCCTGCAGCATTGGACTTGCAGAGTGAACTTTGACCAAGTTCAAATGTGTTTTCTATACCAGCTTGTGTCTGCCACATCAGCAGGTGTTTGTAATGAAGGTAATTGTGTGACAATATGAAATTTGAAGAGATTTTTTGTTAAAGTTGCATTAGCTGGGTTTTGAACCCTGATCTCCCACATGAAAGTCCATGACATAGACCATTAGACCAATAGACCTGGCAGGGGTTGGTTTGTATGTGTGCAGAAAGAGGCCACATTGCCAATGCAATTATTGACACAAAAATGCATAATATTACAACAATCCAGAAGTATTAAGACAATATTATAGTAAAACATCAAAATACAATCATACTAGTATTGTAAACACTGAACTACTGAGTTGAAATATTAAACTATGGTGCAGTACCAAGTTGAGTACAGCATGAGGCAGTATTGGACCAATGCAAGGCTCCATTGACTGCTATTATAATTCATTAAACATTAATATTTCAAAAACTATAAGTTTTACAGGCACCAAAAGGCATAGCCATCATTTGGCACAGGGGCTTTACAGATATAAATTACAATGGCAGCTGTAGGACAAAGTGTGCAGGAGGAGAAGCATGGCAAAGTTGAGATGACTTGGATGGGAAACGAATCACAATAGTGTGCATTGCATTGGCAATGCACACTGAATACTTATTTTGTGTTTTTGTAATAATTATAGTGAAATTATTACATCACCAATTATTTTATTATTCTTTAAATTGATTTCTGAAGTGCAGTGGTTCCCAAACTTTTCAGCATTTGACCCACAAAATAACAGTAGCAGAGACCTGTGCCCACAACTATTTTTGGATGATAAAACATTTGTACCAAGTCAACTAAACATGGGCATAGTAACAATATTTATTGATCTACATTTATACATTTTAAGCAAATAAGGCAAAAATGTAATTAATTTAGAAAACCTTTTCAGGACCCCACCTTGATGTGTCAGGACCCCCTTTTGGGTCCCGACCCCAACATTGGGAACCACTAATTTAAAACATATTTAATACACAAGAAAACAAATTTTACTTCTTAAAAAATAGTACAAATTCTCCCAATTATTACCAGTGTAGCTTCTAACTTATTAATTGTAAACCAGCCCACATGAGCCATTAGTGACGTCAAATATGGTGCAGTTTTTATTTTGAAACTAAATGAATATTTTCTGTTCATTTAGTGCTGAAGCACAGATCAGAGTTGCTGCTGAATCAGTGGAAAAAGAAGTCACCAGATGATGATAAAAACACAGAACTGCACGTCATCTCATCTTACAGAGAAAACAAAAATACTTCCTGTTTCTGCAGCCGGGGCGGCTGATTTTGCAGCTTTTAATTTGGAATATTTTCAGGGATTTCAGATTGTTCGTCAGCTGAAAATGTCCTGGAAAAACAAGAAAGCTCTTTTTTTTAAGATTTAAAGTTCACAAGCCCTCATGTCATTTTTAAAGAAGAGTTTTACCAAATTTATTTAAGTTGTAAAGTTTGAAATCGAGCAAAAAGGTTATTTTGAAATAATATCAGTGCAAACGAAGTTGTATCTGCAAACTTGACTCAACAAATCTGAGCAGAAATATGCACCAATGCCTTAAAATTGTCTGCTGTTGACATATTTTCAGACACTGTAAATAATCATAGTTGGTAACTGTACACAAATAAGTTCATAATCTAAAGACACACAACCATTAATATGATAAACTAATTGTGCATTTTTTCATTTGAGTTTGAGTAAATCGAGCCAAAATAATTAAAAAGAACCTGGTTTGAACATCAGCAAACTTTAGAGGTCCACTGTGTGACTCAGTCTGTTTAGTCTTTATTGTTTGTCCTGAAAGCTGAAGGAAAAAAAAAAAAAAAGGTGCATTGCTCCAAAGATGGGGATGAAAGTGAAAATCACTCTGGTGGAGATTTATTAAAACACTGACAAACTTTGTGAAGGTGCTGTATTTAAACTATCTGGCTTCGGTCTATTACGATGAAAACAACTCATCTGTACAAAAAGAGTGTCTCTTTGTACCCCGAGCAGAGGCACTTCAAACCAGAAAAGCACAAATAAACTGATTTCACTGAATCTTTCCAGGTGCTCCAGTTTTAGTTGTTTAAAAATGGCCACTAGATGGCGCAGTTTGACACTTYCCTCCCCACGCAGAGGCGCAACCTTTTAGACCAAACGGGTTTATTTGTCAGTGAGGTGAGGGGAGCTGCTCTGATTTACGTCTCATCTGAACCATTTTACAGAAGAAAAAAAAAACTGAACAGAATGTGCCATTTCCTCCTCCCTGACTGTTGCATCACAAGCTGTTTGTGTCAGAGCGCCCCCTGGTGKTTGTCTGCGACAGTTCAGGCCTTCATCTGAAAGTGGTCTGCTGTTTTAGCTTCTCTTTATTTTTAATTTTTTTTTTTCCTGATTGTTTCTGTGCTTCTCTTGGCCGGCCTGCAGGCTCTTCAGCTCTGTGATGTCTTCTTCCTGTTCACTGCTAACCTAGCTGTCTTTTAAAAAGTAACTACAATAAAAAAATAAATAAATAAAAGTCAAGAGAAACTGTAGCCTGCTTCTACAAAATCCTAAAGCTTCTTCTGATTTGCATTTTGTCGTGCTGTAATGTTTTATTTAAGTTTTTTTTAGTGGAGAAAAAAATGTCACATCTAACTAAATTAAGGGAATTAAAATTACAAAGAATACCCCAAAATCTTCTGAGTTGTGTCTTATTTTTAGTCTGGTTTTGCAAGAAAATAGTTTTTATGTGCAATTTTTTTTCAGGAGTTGTATCGTACCTTATTACTGTTTAATATCAGATACTCAGGAAAGACCATTAAAAACTGTTGGATATTTTTGCTAAGAGCTTTTTTTTTCTAAAAACAATTTTATTTTAAATAGCTTAGCATGTTCTTTTAAGWGTTGTGTGTATATATTTTAACATTTTACCAAATTATTTGCCAAATTGAAGTTTGAGTTTATGAAAAGTATGTTTTACATTCTTGTATTTAGCCAAAAATAATTTGGTTGGCTCATTTAATTTAGATTTTATTCAAATTAATAATTCTTTTAAGCTAACATTTTCACTCTGAACACCAGTTTTGTTGGTATTTAAGTAGATTTAAAAAAAAGTGGCCTAATCTGGCTTTAAGGTCAAAATATCACATTCAGTTATCTTTAAGTAATATTTATAAAAAAACAGAATAAAATTTAAAACTTAGAATTTTGCAGGGTTTTTTGTGATAAACATTAATCTGTAACTCCTCAGGTTTCTTTCTGAAAATGCAAAAAAAAAGTCCCAAAAATGTATATTTTTAAAGAGTTTACAGAATGACAAACGAAACAAAGTAAATCCTTTATTCCAGCGTCTTCAGTCGTTAAATTTGATTTTTGCAAATCTACTGGATTTAATGGTCTTTTCAGTAACTAGACAAACAAATGCTGGATTAAGGCTGAGTGAGCGTTGACTGAACAGGATACAGGTTTTATATCAGATCAGAGGAATGGAAACCAGGACTTTCCTGCAGTTTTTACAACACACAAGAATTTATTTATGTGGCTTTTTGTCCTCAGCTTAATGGAGAACAGAAAGGCCTTCAGCCGTTTATAAAAAGTRGCTCCTGAACAACAAAACCACTTCCATCAGGACCAGACTGAAGCTTTAAACTCTCCTCTGATCTGTTTCAGTGATAAAATGAGTTTTTAGCCTCGAACAGACCCGTGTGCTCAAATATTTGTTTGGCACATCGTGTCTTATTGTTTATTGTAACTGAAAACAAGCTGTTTTTAACATTTTTTTAAATATTAAATATTTCTGCTGTGAATTCATCATGAGACATCCCACTTCCTGTGAGGAACAACACAGCTGTGCTCGTGTCAGAATAACATCTCCAGGGCAGAAACCATTTAACTCCCTCCAACCTCCAGTTACAGAACGGTTTGTCCGAATATTCTTTGATAAGAAGGGACTCGACTGAGATTAAACTCAACCAGGAAGGTAGGTGTTTTACCCCCCCACACACGTACACGCTCATCAGGAAGTTAGCAACTGAGAAAATAAAAACACAAACCAAAGATTGAGTTAGTTCATTTCCATCCAAAAACAAAACAAAAAAAAAAATCATTTTTATTCTCCAAACTGAAAGGTTTACCCTGTCGTTTGGCTCAAGCCAAAATAACATTACATTGCATTTCTTCAGTTAGCACTGGAGGCATACAAAGACTGCTTCTCTTCTTTTAACTGAGAGCAAATTAAGAGTCAAGTCACATGAATGATCTTCGTATTTGGTGAGTAACGGGGAGATTAATTTCTGATGATTTTTTTCTTTTGAGATAGAAGCACGTGATGTTCTGTCAAATAAAAAAAGGGAGGAAACAAACCGTCCGGAGGAGCAGGTTTCTGTCAGGAAGGCCTGAAAACAGTCGAGACTGAAGAGATCTCTTCATCTGTTTCACCTCAGCAGTGTGGATCGACAGCTGTAGTGTTACACAAACAGACAGACAGGATATGCGATTCAAAACCAAAGTGCCCACAGTCCATATAAAGCCCGGGTCACATGACCCAAAAACAGGTGACGTCACAAAGGGAAGGAGATGGAGACTGGACGTAAAGGTTGACCAAACTGCCACCAGTTCGTTCGTTCATGTGTGTATGTGTGTGTGTGTGTGTGTGTGGTGGATATGCCAGCTATGTGGCACTCAGCACCATTAGATCACAGTTCCTCAGGGACCTCCCCATCCAGTGACTGTGCAGTTAAAAAAATGGGCACGTGGTGATTTAAGCTCATGCTTAAGTTGTGGTAAACCATCCAAGCACTTCTTTAATTTATAAATACACAGCAGCGCTTTTTTTTTTCCTTTTTCTKTTTTTGTAATAAACCGGTGAAGGTTTGGGTCGGCCCTCCTCTCCCTCGCTGAGTGTGTGAAGAGTTCGCCTCTTAAAACGCTTCACTACTCGTCCGTTAGGACACAGGTTTATGTTGGGGGAGGGGTGGGGGGTTGATTATCGACTTCCATATAGATTTTTTTCTATAATATATTTATAAAGTCATTTTTCCTTTTTGCTCTCACGCACCCACCACGCGTGCTTGCTTTCACATTCTCACGTCTCACAACTTTTATTCATCGTACACAACGTAAAACATGGGGTGGAGTGGGGAGCGACACAGCTGTAATGACAATCACTGAATTAAAATAAAATAAAAATAAAAAAAGCCAAAAAGAACTGCAGTCTCTTGTCATCCATTGGCAGTTGGACTGACTGAGCAGTCAGCGAGTCACAATGGTGTTTTCAGGGGAGGGAGCGGCCATGTCATCAAAGGGGCGGGGCCGGGGGTTCTTTCTTCGTCGGCGCCGTTTTAGGTGTGGGTTTTGTCGTCTTGGGGGCGGGGCTCGTCTCCTTGAGGTTGAGGTTCTCCAGTGCCACGTCTAAGGTCATGACTTCCACGCAGCCCATGGCCTCGAAGTCGGCGAAATTCCGCAACGGGCCGTGGCAGTGGTCCTCGTCATCGGACGAGGAGGCTGAGGCGTCCTCGTCGGGCAGCAGCGTGGACAGCAGCAGCTCCGTCACAAACAGGCTCCTGTCGGCCCACTGGGCCTCGCACGCCTGACGCTCCGCCTCCGACAGCCGGGGTTCGCTCAGCCTGCGACACACGTGGACAGGTGGAGCACCAATCAACCGACGGCTGACACTTTTAAACTTCTAATATGATAAACTAGAGAAAATTAAAAATTTTTAAT